CACCTCCGTTGTAAGTAATCTTGATGAGGGGGATGCCCAGCGGGTCCTCGGTGTGTTGTGATGGGGTGGGGAGCCTCTCAGATTTGGCAGAGGCCCCGCCCCTGTGGTTTCCTGTGCATGGCTGCTTTGGGGAGTCTCCTGGCCCCAGGCCCCCATCAACACCCCTGACTCATGCCTCTGTCGTCACAGGAGAGCTGTTCTCCCAAACAGAGGGAGGAGACGTCAGTGTGCTCATGGGCAGTTGCAAAGGAGGGGTCTTTGAGCCACCAAACTGCAGCAGAACAAAGGCCATTTTTGTTTAGGGGCTTAGAAGGATGTCCTGAGAAGTTGGAAGAAATAATTTATTACTTCCCAGGTTGACTCCCAGGTCATAGGTTTCACCCCACACTGTTCCCTTCTGAACCTTCTAAGTTTTTTGAAGGTGGAGGCAGAAGTGCAACACATAGGAATGTATCCTGACTCTGTGCTTACTAGCTGTGTGACCTTGGATGATTTACATAACCTCTCTGAGCCTCAACTTTCTTGTCTGTAAAATGAGGTAGTTCCCTGGCAGGGTTGTGAGGATTAAATGAGTGATGCAATATCTCATTTGCATTATGAATGTGCATTACGAATGTGGAATGAAACACTCTACAAGTGGCTACTTTTATTTTCTTATGGACGATGTCCTTAACTAATGGATGGGTTTCCTATCACCGCTGTAACAAATCACCACAAACCTAATGGCTTAAAGCCACACAAATTTAGGATCTTCCAGTTCTGGAGTTCAGAAATTCTCAAGCCAAGTTGTCAGACCACGTTCCTTTGAGAGGGGGAGGACCCATATCCTTGCCCGTCCAGCCTCTGGGGGCTGCCTGCCTTCTTGGCTCATGGCTCCTCCTCCATCTTCAAAGCCAGGAGCCTCTTCAAATCTCTGTTTCCACACCTCCGTCTCTGACGCTGACCCTCCTGTCTCCCTCCTGTAAGGACCCTTGTGATGACACTGGGCTGACTCTGATAATCCGGAATAATCTTTCCATCTCAGAATCCTTAACTTTATCACATCTGCAAAGCCCCTTTTGCCATGGAAGGAGACATTCACAGGTTCTGGGGATTAGACTGCAGACACATTTGGGGAGCCGTTATTCTGCCTCCCACAACCAGCGATGGTGTTTTTTTTTTTAATGGGCCTGAGAAGACGTCTGTAAGGTAGGCTCTTTGGACTGTCATTTTTAAAGATATATGCAGCAAAGGCGCAGATAACAGTAACAGTGGCTAAAACAAGATTAATTTCTCTCTCTCGCTCTTTCTTTCCCTCTTAGAATCAGGTCCTCTCTCTCTCTCTGCCCTGATGCTTTGCATCCGCAGAGGTCTTGCAGACAACTCTCCTCCATGCCTGCAGCCTAGCCAGCGGGAAACAGGGAAGGGGAGAGCACCCACCCTCTTTCTCTTATGGACACGCTCACAAGTTGGATCCTTTGCTTCTGCCTCCATCCCACTGGCTGAGACTTGGCCACACGGGCACATCTGGCTGAAAGAAGGGTTGGGAAATGCTGTCACTGTAGGTGGTCGTGTGCCCAGTAAAAATGGGTGTCCTGGTACCAAAAAGGAAGGAGAAAATTAATATTAGGGGACAAATGGCAATGCCGCCAGAGAGCTGAGAGAGGAGAGGAAGTGGAGATCTCTGTCGCAGACACGGCGCTGCGGTGGGGGGGGCGGATAAGCAGCCCCTCTGGGGGGGGGGTAGGGAAGCACCCATCACACACACAGTTAACAGCTTAGTCAATGTCTGGTCTCTTTCTTCCTTCCTATGAGGAACTTTGCTTTATTCAAGATCACGAAGTATTTGACTAAAAAGTTCCATCTCTCAGTCTCCTTCGAGACCATGAGTGTGAGCAGGAATCTGCTGGGGATTTCTGGGAGAACTTGCACTCTCCTGATAGACATGCCCTTCCTTCTTGCTTCTCTGGTCTTCCTCTTCCTCCCGGAAGCTCAGGAGTTTCTGCAGGTGCAGCAGCCACCTGTCACACATGAGAATGGGTGTCCAAGGGGAGCCTGGAGCCTTGATGACGACCCTGAGCGCCTACCATTGGTGCACTGCCCACTGAAGACTCCCTTCTACCAGAGAAAAGCGAACCCCTTTGCTGAATCCTCTTTGCTTTGGCAGTTTGGGGTCTCCCTGGCCTGCCTGTTTGCTCTCTGCCCTTGTGCATATAGGGAGGCGTGCTGGCAAGTGTGCTCTGCCCACATATACACAGCCCATAGCTTACCCCGCTATTCCCAGGGGAGGCCCCGTGGGGAAGGAAAGTGTATGCAGTTGCAGAGGAAACCCATGCTTCTTACAGTCATTAACCAACTTGATCCTTTATTTATAAATGCAAAACAACATTCAAGGGCTCTCGGGATATTTGGGGAAAACAAACATCACAGAGGGGAAGGATCAAAGTGGATAAACTGAAGACTTCACTTTGGAGTAAGCAGAGAGAATTTGAGGAGAAGAAAAATCATTTTTATTCTGCTTTGTGTCTTCTGGAGGATTTGAGAGACTGTTGCATTGACAAGATTAGGTTGTGAAAATGGAGGAGTCAGAGGAAGAAGGAATCATTCTTGAAAATGAAAAATGTGGTTACGTTTGAAAATGCCAATGAATGGGCTGAGAAATAAGATGTGGCCAATGACAAAATTAGTCAGCTGGAGTACAGAATTGAAGAAATCTTACAGCATGTCAGAAGACAAAGCCGGAACATATAAGAGAAAAATTGAGACAAAGGATAAATCCAGGACTTCCAAATGCTGTAAAATGGGAATTGCAAAAGAAGAGAGAGAGGCTGGAGGGGAGGAAATAATAAAAGAAGTGGGAGGGACATTTCCCTGCACTCCAGGAAAAACCTGAGTCTTCAGATTACATGCCCCACCTGGTTCCACTACCACACAAACCTACAGCCATCAGGGGACATTTTAAAACATTAAGAATAAGGAGTCAACCTTATGGGCTTTAAGAAATAATAATTTTCAAAGTGGTAAACTACCAGAGACTGAGAATCAGATTAACACCAGACTTGTCCTCTGCTTGGATGCCAGAAGACAATGAGGGTATGTCTTCCATGTTCTGGGGCAAAGGATTCTTAATCTAGGACTCTTTCTATAGCTAAACAAAATAAAGGTATTCTTAGACATTCAAGAATTCGAAAATTCACAATCCGTGTACTCCATTAGAAAAAATTACCCAAGAATCTATGTCAATCTCCTGAAAAAGAATCCAAGAAAGAGGGTGGCATATACATTATTTAAAAGTAGCAGTTGACGATCATACAGAAGAGGCAAAGGATACTAGAAAGAAACTAACAGAGCGCATGTTAACCCTGACACTTGGAAGATTCTCCTTTGAGCGGTGGAGTTTCAAGGACTCAGAATCATAATTCCTTCTTCATGGATCCATTCACACTTAATGAAGACTATGTACTTGGTCTTGTGGTAAGTGCTGTTTATTGGTTTTCGGTTTTTAGAGCCAGCCTATTGACAGTTCAAAGAAGATTTAGTTCTAAATTTTAGAACAGAATAATGAAAAATAATAAAATATTTATAGAGACCTATTACATACCAGGCAGTGTTCTAAGAGGTTAGCATGGATTAACACTTTTAATCTTCATGACAGCATTCTGAAGCAGAAACTATCATTATCCCCATTTATACCAATATGGAAACGGGAACACAGAGAGGTGAAGTAACTTGCCCAAAGTTACACAGCAAAAAGTGGCAGAGGTGAGATTTGAATTCAGATATACTGACCTCAGTGTTTGTTAGTTAAAATAATATAACTAACATGCATAGGAAGAGGGGAACAATAGACAGTCAGAGTGACTACATGATTTCCTTATCTTTCATTGGAGGGAATTGTTCAGTATCATCTAAAGTTGATAAATCAGGAAGCAGCAGGAGACATATTGTTAAAGGTGAACTTTACCATCAGAAAGACTAGAAAACCCAAGCCAAGAACTAACACCCCTGGGGAGAGGGCCTGCGAGGACTCCGGTGGAAGACTTTTTGGGTTAGACTTTACTTTTTTACTCCTCAGATGTTAATATCCTGAGATGTTACATGTATCTTCATGTTCGCAGCTAATGCTTTTCTTTATTATTAAAAAATGTTTTATCATGTGCAAATATCATTGCTGTCATTTTAGAAACTAGTTCAGTTTTCCAACAAAATTAATTCTTTAAATGCGTCGCGTCATCTTGACAATTCTGAGTGGAAGTTACGCATTTTGGAATGACCGTTGTGGTGGGGTCTGGAGCCCACCTCTCACAGCCTGCTGAGCCTGACCCCTCAGGTCTGCCCAGTCCTGCCTTCCTCCCACTCCCCGGGAAAGGCTATCTGGCAAAGTCTTCCAAGTTCAGAACCTTGGCAGACACAACATTCCCAAAGGGAGCCCCAGGATTCCTGCGAAATGACTGTCAGCCCTTCCCCCGGCGGGGGTGAGGGTGTTGGATGTTGGGGCCCTGGGAGAGTCTAGAAGGGGAATGCTGACGTTGCAACTGGAATCATCACTGGGGGCATTTGGGACATTTTAAAACCCTCCCCAGTTCTGGCAGTCTTCTCCAGCCCCATGAAGGTGCCTTGGGGATGGAGTTGCTGCAGTGTTGGGGCCTCTCCATCCTCACCCCTGGACTGCTCCCCGGGTCAGCAACCCCTCGGCCTCCCAGCTCCCCTACCCACCAGTGCCGGCTCCCAGAGCCCCCTTTGGAGCCGCTGTCCCAGCAGCCGACCCCTCGAGGGTTCCAGGCTCAGCTCGAAGCGGCTGCAGCCCTGTGGTTCTCGCCGTGAGTCATGGCGGGCCGGCTGTGCCGGCTTCCCTATCTCGGGGAACCGGAGATCGCCTTTAATTCCCTCCAGCTGCGTCTCCGCAGGACTGAGGTAATCTGTTCTGGCGCAAGAGGAAAGCAGAGAGTTTGTTGTGTCTTTGTTTCATTCAAATGGTTTGGATGATGACTCACTCCATTTCTTCTTTCTTTTTAAACCAGGGCACCGTCTCGAAGTCGTTTCTGATTAGAAGTTGACCTCAGAAATATGCTCGCATCATTTTGAAAACATCTCCCAGCACCACAGAAACCGACGCAGAATGGGAAAGGACACTGAGGGGACCAAGGCCAGGACCCGGGCCTTCCCACAAGGCTCTCAGGGTATCGCTGGCCTGGATCAAAGTTGGGATGCGATCACCGTCATGACGCCGGATACACTCATGGACCTGGGCCAGCTGGGAGTGACAGGGATGACTGTCACCATCGTGGTTGTCAGCTAATGTTACTGAGTCCTTACTACAGACCCTGCGGTTCTAAAGAGTCATCCGTTCTTGCAGCATCCTCTCAGGCAGGGACCATTGGAGTTTGAGGTCCGAGTGGTGTTGTCAGGTACCAGTCTGGAGAGGGCAGGTCAGTGTGTAAGATCAATGCCCTCGGGTGGGACTACCTAGTGGGTAAAGTCAGTGGTCTCATTAGGAACACAAACCCCCAGCTAAGCCTGCTCAGCCCTGAGGCAGAAGCTGTGAACCCAGCGAGGTGGGAGAGGGTGGCCAGAGGCAGTGAGCAGGGTATGAGCAGGGTCCAAGGTCAGCGTTGGCAGGAAAGGGGAGCGGCTGGTGTGCAGTTGGCTGCTCAGGGGCCGAGGTCGACCCAAAGTTGTGGTTGACCAAGGACATGGCTCTCCTTATCGATGCCAGATGATGTGCAGAAACAGGTGGGCCATGAAGTGTTCATTTCCCCAGGAGTCCAAAAGGTAGGTTTAAACTAGAGTGTGAAGGTCTGATAGTAGCAATGACGACGGATACAGCAGGAGAGCCATGGCCTCTTGCATCTCTGCCTGGAGGAGAGGCCAGTGCCTAGAAAAGCATGGAGGGCTGAGCTGGCCATCCCTCCTGGGGGAGCAGCAACTCGGATGGCACCCCTGAGTCTTGTGAGCGCTTCTGTGGGGTGTTTAATTATTGATAAACATCAGTGGGTAGTCCATGCATTAGTTTCCAAAGGCTGCTGTAACAAATCACAAGCTGAGTGACCTAAAACAACCCAAATTTATTATCTTATGGACCTAGAGGCTGGAAGTCCAAAATCAAGGTAGGAGCGGGGCCACGCTCCCTCCCAAGGCTCTGCCTGCGGAGGAACCCTTCATTGCTTTTTCCGGCTTCTGGTGGCTCCAGATGTCCCTTGACTTGCAGCAGCAGAACTCCAGTCTCTGCTCCCATCTTCACATGGCCTTCTCCTCTGTGTCTGTGTCTTTTCCTCTTCTTTACAAGAACACTTGTCATTGGATTTAGGGCACCCCACCCCTGATAATCCAGGATGATCTCATCTTGAGGTCATTGACTTAATTACATCCCCAAAGACCCTTTTTCCAAGTAAGGTAACATTCACAGACTCCTGATGGACATTTGAGGGGTGGGGGGCAGGTACCATTCAACCTGCTACAGTCAATAAGGCCCATTTCCCCCTACGAAGTGGGAGCTTCCTGAGAATAGAAATGTTTACCAATTCATTCATTCATTTCACAGACATCGAGGGACCGCCTGCTGCGCCCCCTGGGGATACTGAAGCAAGGCAAACAGATCCACAGAGCTGACATTGCAGCACCAATAAAAACGGAAACATCATTGTGCATTGCAGGTAGAGGTATTAAGGAAACCAGGGAGGGTCGAGACCAGTAGGGTTGGGGACGGGGTGAGGTGGACAGCTCCAACCAGGGAGATCAGGGAAGGCTTCCTGGAAGATGTGACACATAAGCTGGACCCTGGATGCTGAGAGGGATCAGACTGGAGCCTCCTCCACCACTTCGGGGCTGTGTGATCTCGGCCAGTCACTCCACCCCTCTGTGCCTTGGTTTCCTCATATGTAAAATGGGGACGGCAACATTACAACCTCCTAGAAAGCATCCCGGGGACTCGGTGAGTGAACTCATGGGGGAACTTCGCAACTGCTAGTTCTTGCTTATCAAGCAGTAGCTAATCCTCCTAAAAGAACACTTAAATGTTAACATTATTAGCACGTGTGCAAAACCATGCACCAAAAACAATTTTGTTAATTTGAGGGAGATTTATTTTTAAAAACAAAAAGACCTAGAAGTAGTCTTCATGCAAAACTCGGAAATGTCTCAGAGTTCCTTACTCCTATTTTACAGCTTAACGTGGGGCTTATTTGAATCAGGTTGGGGGCCTGGGACATCTTATTTTCTTTGGGGTTTGGGGCTTTAAAATCTTTGGGGACCTGGCAGAAGTACCCGTGGACGTTGGCTGTGACTGCAGGCAGAGCAAGCTGGTCCTTGGGACCTTGGGACGCCAAGGGTCTCCTACGTTGTGTTGACTCAGCAGAGGGACGGAGGTCAGGCTAAAGGTTGTCCTGGGGTGAGAACCAGAGGAACAGCAGAGAAACCTGAGGAGTCATGAGGCCCAAGGAGAGAGCCCAGGGTCCCAGGTCCACACGTCCCCACCTGGGCCTCCGGGATCTGTCCCTCTAGGGGGCAGTAGGGCTCCACCGAGAGTCCCTGTCGCTGTCTCTCGGAGGTGGGGAAATGCTCCTCACCTTGGAACGTGCCTCAGCATTCAGCATTAAGGGGAATTTCTGCACAGACTTTGCCTTGGCTGGGCCCAGAGGAGATATCTTTTCACATTCGGATGTTTGAGAGGGAAATGCTCATTAGGGAGGGAAGTATTTAGTGTCACGGTAACATGTGAGTGTTTCTAAAAACAGAAGCCCAACAGCTGTACCCACTTAGGGGCACTTTGTGGTTCCAGCCACCACGCGTTCATTCCCCTCCAGCCGGATTTCTAAGGCTCATAATATTCATGTGGAGAAGTTGTACGTTTACACACTCGTGTTCGTGGCCAGAGTCAGGTTTTTAGACCCTCAGAACAAACCTCTTTGACCAATTCATGCATCCTAGGGGCCACCGGCTCCTTCTCCTCTCCTGCTCAGGGAACCAGGATAGCCCCGGATGTGTTTGCATGTAGCTCTGTGACCGCAGAGATCTGAGACTCAGGGGCAGCACTCCCCGTGTCCTCGTGGCCCCCTCTGGGGACAAGAGTAGGGGTTCAGGGCACAGCTGCCTGGGGCGCACACAGACCTGGCTCCAGATCCTCACTTTGCCGCTTCATGCTGTGTGGTCGTCAGTGGGGGTCCTTCCTGAGCCTCCCACTTGGCCTGTAAAACAAGGAGAGACCTGCCTTGCAGGGTGGTTGTGATTCCTGGACACGATTCCAGTGACAGGATTCCTGGAATGGGCTTAGTGAGGTGCCAGGCACATCCTGGACACTCGCCCTAACACTGCCAGCCACCTCCCTGTGCCCACCCTCTGCCTCCTCGACTCCCCCTGGCCTGACCTACCGCTTCCTCTTCCACCTCACTTGTTCCTTCCCTCCATGTCTTCTCTGCGCACTGTTTACCGAGCCTCCGGCTGGCATGCAGGCTCTCTCCTGCTGTATCTGTTCCGGGCACAGAATCGCCGTCAGTGTGTGTTGTTGGGTGCACACATGAGTGAACGGGAGCCCTTAGCAGTTATCTGGGCCTCAATTTCCTTGGTTGCACAACGAGGATGATGGTACTAAAAGTATCCAGGTGGCTTTGGGTGGATCATGTGAGCAAACCTGTGCGCGAGCCCCTGGCCCAGGCCCTTACAGATGCAAGTTCACTTCCCCATCGCTGGATTTCAGATGTTGTCCATGGCTTTATAACACAGTCAGGAGAGTCACTACCCACCCCCCAGCCCCCAGGGCAGCTCAGGGCTACGGGCCACCTGCCGCCCATTTATACAGACTCACCCAGTGAGATCCAAGTGGGGTCTCTGTACCGGGCACTCTCAGGTTGGATCCTTCCCCACGCCGGGAGGGGAGGCCTGGGTCAGGGAGGAGGCCCCCGAGGCTCAGAGAAGTGGGGTCACTCGCCTGCGTAAGTGATGCACGTGATGCAAGTGACGTAGGTGGTGCCTGGGGCCTCTGCCGTTCTGCGGGAAGCAGCTCAGGGCTCTCACCAGGGGAGGAGGTGGTCCATGACGGGTGACAGACCCACTGTGGCGGCCAAGAGCAAGGGCCCCTGAGGCCCATGGGTGGGTGTGGGCATAAGACCCAGCTTGGCAGTTACCAGCTAAGTGGCTCCTGGCAGGTGGCTTCACACCTCTAAGCCTCGATTTCCTGTTAGGTGGGGTGATGAGAGCCCATCCCTCTGAGAGCTGTGATGAGAACAGAACCAGGACAAGAAATGAGTAAAATGAGTCGTTAGTGGGCTGCGCTCAGAGTTGAACAAAGGAACTGAGGCAAGCAGAGTAGCGCCCCTCCAAAGACGTCCACGCCATAATCCCCAGAACCTGTGAATGCACGTTACATGGTGAGGGGGGACGACGGCGACAGACGGAATTAAGCTCACTGATCAGCTGACCTTGTGAGAAGAAGCCCTAAAAGTGTCAGAGGGAGGCAGCGGAAAAGGCCGGACCCGCCACTGCTGGCTTTGAAGATGGAGGAAGGGGATGTGAGCCAGAGGATGTGGGCGGCCTCCAGAAACTGGAAAAGGCAGACAAATCCTAGAACCTCCAGAAGGAACACAGCCCTGCCAACACCTTGGCTGTAGCCCAGAGACTTCTGACCTCCCAGACTGTAAGATGATTACTCTCTGTTGTTTTAAGGCATAGGTTGGTGGCATCTTGTTAGTGCGGCGATAGGAGCCTCGCACGGGGGGGCTGCATTGCAGCAGCACCCTGCCTGGGCCTCCCTCTCAGGAGCAGAACTTGGCACAACGAGGGTCAATCTCAGACCTGCTGACAGTGAGTTAATGCTCGTAGAACCCCGGCCCTTTATAAATGAGAAGAGACTGTTGAGATCATGGAGTTCAGCATGTGAGAGTGGGGTGTCCCCCAGATTAGTTCTGACCCATGTCCCGCCCAGAATGGTCCCATGTGTCAGTCAGTTAGGAGATGCTACATACACTGTCTGCCTTTTAAACAGTCACAGCCCTCTTTTACCTCTTAGAGGCTCTGGGAAGTTCTGCAGCAGAAAGCAGAAAAGCCTTGCTAACTTCAGCGCTTCCAGAGATACTGCGCCATAAACCTGCTTCACCCAGCCCCCCACCCCCGCCCTGTAGTATCTCCTGACAACCCACAGGGCAGGTGTTGGGTGGGTGGGCTGATCTCATCAAACCGATTCGTGAGACAAATAGAGAAACTGAAGCCCGAAGCTGTGTAAGTGCCCTGGAGAAGCACAGCTACTGAGAGGGGGAGTGCAGGCCTTGGAGTCCCGGAGACCTGGGTTTGCAGCCTGGCTGTGCTGCAACCTGCACAGGGCCCTGGGGGACTCACATCCTCTCTCAGAGCGCCTGATCCCTGGTGGGTCAGGTGGAGATGGTAAGAGAGCCTGCTTTGCAGAATGTCACGAACCATTGGCTCTGTCCGTCGGGGCTGCTATGACGAAGTACCGGCGACTAGGGGCTTGTCAGCAACGGACACTTCTCACAGTTCCAGAGGCTGGAAGTCTGAGACCAGGTTGCCAGCGTGGGCAGGTCCTGGTGAGCGCCCTCTTCCGGATGGCAGACTGCCCACTTCTCCTCGTATCCTCGCGGGGCGGAGAGAGAGCTCTCTGGGCCTCTTTGAAAAAGGTCCTGGTCCCATTTCATGAGGGCTCCACTCTCAAGACCTAATTACTCTCAAAGGCCCCACCTCCTAATACCATCACATCAAGAGTTAGGATTTTAATGTGACATTTCAGCTTAAAATCATGGCCCACTGAAGTGGCTGGCACCCCCTGGGAGGGAGACGGGGACGAGAAAACACTACTGTGCATGTTCATTTCCTGTTGTCGCCACGATGGACCACCACGAGCTCCATGGATTGAAACAGCACAAATTTATTGTCTACATTTCTGGAGGTCAGCAGTCCTAAAATCAAGATGTCAGCGGGGCTGGTTCCTTTGGAGGCTCTGGAGCAGAACCTGTTTGTGCCTCTTCCAGCTTCTGGAAGCTTC